CGTGCCCTTACTTTTCTGCTGCGGGCCCGCAAAATTTATTTTCGATAAATTTCGTTAATTTGTTAATCAAAACAGCATATTTTCAGTATTTCATAAGGATCTCAGGTTTTAGTAGTAAGGAGATTTACTTTTACATGCCCTTACTTTTCTGCTGCGGGCACGCAAAATTTATATTTAACCAATTTGGAATATACCGTAGATATACATTCATGTATATTACCGGAATATTTGTTTTGAGCATACTAGGTATATTCACCTGCACATATACACAATATGTACATATATGTACATACCTTTTATGAACTTTGATGAATATACATGCATGTGTATTCCACGAACATTCATGTTAGGAATGTTCACCTATGTATATTCCCGCAATGTTGTGTATATTTTTTGAACATTCTGGGATATTCGTAGAATATCAAATGCTATCTGGGCGTGGTCATCTATCTTCATTCGAAGGTCTAACTCTTTCCATAGTATAGTTTGGCATGGTTATGCAGGGCGAAAACCCAAAAGTTGCCCCTTTTTTAAAGGTTTTTTACACTCAAATTAAGTCCTCGTGTGAGCTTCTTCAGTTGAAGACACATCAAGGCCCTGAAAACCGGGGAGAATAATTTAGTGCTCGTCTTTGATATGGAAAAATACCCTTTTCAGGGGCAGCATGACACTGTGTCCCCATGGATAGAGCCGGATGTTCCGTTTCCCATGTCTGCCCACTTTTAAAGTGCTGGAAGAAAATCGATAATTTCATTTCGCTGATTTCCAGCGGCGAAACTCTGACAATTATTATGTGATTAAAGCGAACCTTCCAGTCTTGCAGAACTGCGAAACGAGTGATTGATGCGGCGCTAATCGAGTTAACTTTGCGTTTCAGATGGCCGGAGCTGATCCAAAATGGCAAAAAGATGCGGCCGACCAAAACTTCGACTACATGTTCAAATTGCTGATTATCGGCAACAGTTCTGTAGGAAAAACGTCGTTTCTGTTCCGTTATGCGGACGACAGTTTCACGTCGGCTTTTGTCAGCACTGTGGGCATCGACTTTAAAGTGAAAACCGTCTTTCGGCACGACAAAAGAGTCAAATTGCAAATATGGGTAAGGAAGTGATGTTGAAAAACCAAACACCCTGTATAATGAGGAACCCTGTATATGTGGCTTATTGAAGTCGATTGATAGGAAGTGAATATTTCGATTGATTGTTCCTGTAAATACTTCAAAACTTCCAACCATGCAACGTATTATTGATTTTTCATTAGAAGTTAATAAAACCCTTCCTGTTCGAGTTTCGCGTTCTTTCCAATTTCCCTTTGAAGAAAACTTAAAATAATGTCGTTTCATCAAACACTTCAAATTAAGCACTTTTAGACAAAAAAATCTTCGATAGTCCATAAATTAGGCCCAAAAAGCAGTTACAAACTTTTGAAATTCGCTTTTCCCAGACCACTTATTTATGCACGAAATTGAGATT